AGGTGATATAAATAATGTAGGTGGAGGACTAGGTGGGACGAGAGAGTCTGTATCCCACCTGAAAGGACAGGTACCTCTCTTACAACCAATTGTTGCCAAGTGTAGCCAGATCTTCCCATTTTTCCAGAAAGTCCAGAGATGTGCATTTTTTGGGAAGTACCTCTTCATTTTGGAACTACTGGCAAGAGTATTAGTCAGGGTTCTTTGTTGCCACTGACACAATCTACTCTAGGTAGTTTAAGCAAAAGTGGTGAATTGTGGTCCCTCTCCCCTGCCCCAAATCATATGTTCGTAGCCCTAACCCTCAATGTAATGGTATCTGAAGATAGGATCTTTAGAACGTAATTATGGTTAGATGAAGTTCTAAGAGTAGGGCCCTAATCCAATAGGACTATTGGCCTTATAAGAAGAGGATGAGAGAGAAAGAGAGAGAAATAGAGAGAGATGGATCTTTCTCTCTCTCTCTATCATGTGAGGAGAGAGCAAGAAGGTGGCCGTCTGCAAGCTAGGAAGAGAGCCCTCACCAGAACCCAGAACCTGACCATGCTGGCATCCTGATTTCAGAATTCCAGTCTCCAGAATAGTGAGAAAATAAATTTCTGTTGTTTAAGCGACCCAGTGTTTTGTTATGGCAGCCACTAAGACAGGTGGTTGAAAACTCTGTGCAATCTCCAGGAGGACAAGAAAGCCAGGTGCTAGCTGTGTAGCCAGAAATGACTCCCAAACCAACTGTGGGGCTGCCCCTGTGAACATGTGCCATGCCTTTCACCATGGACAGCAAGCTTACAGAAGGGTGGGAAGCCGATGCCTTGGCTGCCAGGCTTACTATCAGATACATTTCTCCCTTTTGTTGCTCACTTCCTGGCATAAATCTCATGTGATCTTCTAATAGTACAGCCTAGATCACATATGACCTGATTTCTAGAACCTTCATGGAAAAGTGCTTTGTCTTCTCTGAGGGAAAGGTGAAACTCATAATGTGAGGCATTTCCCAGCCATAGGAAGAGTACGCGTTTGTGAGCTGCTTTAAAGCCCTGCCAATTGATGACATCTGACCCGTGGACTACTTTCATTATTTAAAGTTCCACTTCTTCTGAGAACAACTAGAAAAGCCAGATTAAATCATCACCATCATCACCATCTGTTAAAAGACATTCAGAGGACTGTTGAACTAACCAGGACTAAAGGGGCCAAGATTCTGGAGACAGGGTCACTGTGGTGAGGTGAGCTGACGTTTTGCAGCGGATTTTCCCTTGGGGATATTTGCACGTTTGGGCACAGGGAAAGAGGCTGATGTTCTAGACTTTTCCCAGGCATGAGGGCTGCTTTGGGGGAACAGAGAAACTGACACAACTTTTAGCAACCTCATAGGGCTAGAAAGACAAAACTGGAGACTTGAGAGGCTGTTATTTCAGGGAGAAGAGGGGCAGAAAAGTGAGCCCGATAGACGCTGGTTTTCCCCTCAATGTATTTGGCAAAGTTTGAAGTAGTGCAGGGTAAGGAGCAAAGAAGCCAAGCAGAAGGTCCCTGAAAGACAGAGCAGTTTCCACAGTCTTGCCATGCTGTGAAGATAAGGGTTAGAGCTCAGGACCAGGGAGAGGAGCCTTCGTGAACACCCAAGGTTGCTAGTTGGAACCCTGGAAAGGCAAAGCATTAGAGGTAGGGGCCAGAGTGAAGTGGTGTCTTACCAAAAGTATAACCCAGTCTCCACCCAGCTCGGCCCCTGACTGGATTAAGATGATTGATCTGTATGCCATTTGTCTTGGAGAGAAAGAATGTGCCCTCTCCAAAGTTAGAAAATATCACCTGGAGACTGTACATTTTTTCATACACGATGTCTGACATTCAATAAAAATACAAGGCCTGCCAAGAGACAGGACCATATCACTGAAAATAAAGGGAAAAATAGTCAATAGAGACCTACAAGTGATCAAGTTATTGGAGTTAGACAAACGCTTTAAAATAACCATTATTAACATGTTGAAGAAAAATAGAAAGATGGAGAAAGTAGATGGAACGAGATAATTTTCCAGAGAATTGGAATCCATAAACTTCATGGTCCAAAAGATTGAGAACATAGAGAACTTGCTTCACCTGCTTATTGACAGATGTTGAAAATACCGACTCGGTTCTGTATAGCTACAAAATCCTGTGGCTTATAGTCTTTTTTTTCCTTCTTCTCTCTCTCTTTCTCTCTCTCTCTTTTTTTTTTTTTTTTTTTTGGAGATAGAGTTTCACTCTTGTTGCCCAGGCTGGAGTGCCATGGCACAATCTCAGCTCACTGCAGCCTCCCCCTTCTGGGTTCAGGTGATTCTTGTGCCTGAGAGTAGCTGGGATTACAGGTGCCTGCCACCAAACCTGGCTAATTTTTTTGTATTTTTAGTAGAGATGGGATTTCACTATGTTGGCCAGGCGGTCTTGAACTCCTGAGCTCAGGCGATTCACCCACTTCAGCCTCCCAAAGTGCTGGGATTACAGGTGTGAACCACCAAGCCGGGCCAGCTTAAAGTCTTTTAAAAAAAAAGTGTGTAAAGGGAGAGAGCATCAGGAAGAACAGCTAAAGCATGCTGGGCTTAATATCTAGGTGATGGGTTGATAGGTGCAGCAAACCACCACGGCACACATTTACCTATGTAACAAACCTGCCCATCTCGCATACGTACTCTAGAACTTAAAAAACAGTTTGATATTCAACTTGGCCACCACTGACTCCTGTTCTCTCTGCTTCTCAAGTGGCTTCATTTAAGGGTGACATATTATACCATGTGTTCTGAGTATCACTCCTTACTCAGTCCTCAGCACAGGACTCTGTTCACCTGGAGAAAGGTGCCTTTGCTAATTATTCTAAATACATCTGTTGGGCAATCTGTGCTGGGAATACTATTAGATAAAATGGTTAGGGAGATGAGGCCTCTCTGAGATGATATTTGAGTTAACAGTGACAAGAAGAAACCTACCAGGAAAGGATTAGGGTGAAGCGTGTTCTGCGTACAGTGGACACAAGAGTACAAAGATTTAATCAAGAGTCAGCAAACTTTTCTGTGAAGTGCCAGACAGTAAGTCTTGCAGGTGTTGTTTGAGCCACTGGTCTCAGCTGCAGCTACTCAACTCCGCTTTACAAGGCAAAAGTAACCACAGACAATAAACAGATGGGTGGTGGTATCAACAAAACTTTACTTGGGGACATAGTGATGTGAATTTCATGTAATTTTCACGTGTCACAAGATATTCTTTTGATTTTTTCCAACCATTTTATTTACATTTTTAATTTTTGAATTTTTAGCAGAGACAGGGTCTTGCTATGTTGCCCAGGCTGGTCCCAAACTCCTGGCCTCAAGTGATCCTCCTGACTCCGCCTCCCAAAGTGCTGGGATTACAGGTGTGAGCCACCGCGCCACGCTTCCAACCATTTCAAAAGCTAAAAACCAATCTTAACTATGGAGCTATCATTTGCTGATATAACGTCAGTTAGATATGATGGGGTCAGGCCACGCACACCCTTGTAGGACATGGGAATACCCAGAATAAGGCAAAGGCCCTTTCCCCCTCCAAACGGAAAGCCATGAGGGCGGGGCAGAGTACCAAGCCCAGGAGGCAGCTTCCTGCAATTCACGGAAGATCATCAGGTTCGTTTTATTTTTTTCCCCAGTAACAAGAAAGGACAAACGAAAAAAAAAGGCACACACACAGCTGAGCCAAAGACAGAGAGGACGTGCCCAGGTTCACGCCGACGCCTCTCCAGCGCGCACCGAGGGTTTTAAAGTTGGGCGCACACCTGCTCCCACCGGAGCGCACCTGCTGAGCTGCTCTCCGGCCCGGTCTCGCGAGAGCGGTGCCGGAGTAGTGGCCCCCACCCGCTCCCCGCCCCAAATCCCTCTCCCCGCCCCCTCGCCCAGCCTCCACGCTCGGGCACACTCCCTGCCTCCTCCGCCGCCCCCGGGAGCAGGCTGGGCCCGAGGCGCGCGCTGTCCCCGCGCCCCCGCCCGCCGCTCGCTCGCTCGCACGCACTCCCGGTAGTAATTTCACTTTGCCACGCGAGCTCCGCAGCCCCTAGAAATCCCGCCCCCCGGCCCTGTCCCCGGCCAGGTGCGCGAGCTTGCACGCTCCTCCTCCGCCTCCTCCGGCGGGTCCCTGGCGCGCCGGGGCCGGGGCCCGGCTGGGGCGGCTGCGCGCACGGCGCCTCTCCACCAACCCGCTCCCCGGCAGGTCCCTCGCTCGCTCTCCATCCCTCTCCGGCGCTCCCTCGCTCCCCCCGCCCTTTGATTGACAGGCAAGATGTCGGTGTGGAGCGAGGCAGGAGCGATTGCAGCAACCGTCACCCCCGGAGCCCGGCGGCGGCAGCAGCAGCAGCAGCAGCAGCGCGGGGAGGAGACAGCAGCCAGCCGCAGTAGCCGCCGCAGCCACGGGAGCAATGCAGACAGCACCTTGAGAACGCGCTAAAGCACTCCCAACCGTGGACCATGCCGTGTCCCTGCAACTGGGAGGGGGGCAAACCAGATTTTTTTTGACATAAAAGCCAGCCAGCCAAAAATATATAATTTTGTCCTTCAAGGAGCCGGTGTGTAAAGAGTGAGCGCTATTTTCCTTCTCCTCCTCCTCCTCCTCCTCTTCCTCCTCCTCTCCTTCTCCTCCTCTTTTTCCTCCTCCTCTTCCTCCTCCTCCTCCTCCTCCCTCTCCCTAAGTGTACAGACAGCATCACATCACCTGGTTTGCTTCTGAGAAACAGCATCTGTCCTTTTCAGGGACCAGAGACTCAGAGAGAGAGGAGACATTCTAATGGAGTCCGCTTGATACCCCAAAATAAAATAATAAATTTTGGCTCTTGTCCCCTCCTCCCACTCCCACCCCCTCAACCCTGTGTGAGATGTTGGATTTCTTCATGAGACATTGTTGAGGAGTCGCAGTGGTTGGAGAGGCGGAGGGGTAGGCTACCTCTACTCTCCCCCCCCCCTTTTTTCTCTCTGGGAGGAGGAGGAGGGGAAGGGGGTTGCAGAGCAAGCGATGGATGAGGAAAACATGACGAAAAGCGAGGAGCAGCAGCCTCTGAGTTTGCAAAAAGCCTTACAGCAGTGCGAACTGGTCCAAAACATGATAGACTTGAGCATCTCCAACCTGGAAGGGCTTAGGACCAAATGTGCTACCTCCAACGACCTCACACAAAAAGAAATCCGGACCCTGGAGGTAGGTGTTGCCTACGGGGGGTGGGGAGGGAGAAGCAATCCTTCTGTCCCCCTCCTTTCTCCCCACGGTCCCCTTTCCCTCGGATTCTGTTTATTGGGGGCTGGGGATGGTGGTGTGGGCAAGCAAGGTGAGCACGGTTTGCTTTTCGGTGATTTCTCTCCTTGCAAAGCCTGCATTGGATATTCTTTTCCTGTGCTGCTGTCGTCTGCGCTTGGCTGGGTGGTGTAGTAGTAGTAGTAATTGTTATTCTTTATTTATTATTATTGTTGCGGCTGTGACTGTTATCATTCGCTTCCTCGCCGAGGAGGGACTTCTCTCTTTTTTCCGCTTGTGGATTTGTTTATATGCCACGGGGGCTTGTGTGCGGGGTAATACATTAAGGAGCTGCAGAGAACCCACGTGACCTTGCGCATTCTGCAGGTGGTCAGAAGGTGGTTTTTGCTCGCAGAATGGAGCCGCTGTCAGTGTAGACCTCTTCTTTTCTCGGCCTTCTTCCCCGCCCTCCTTTTGCTCCTTAGATTTTTTTTTTTTTTTCTAAATCAGTGATATACATGTCAGGAGGCAAGATGCATGAAAAAAAAAAAATCCCCGTGGAGCTACCCATTTCCAATCAAATCATTTTGATGCAGTGAGCTCTTGCAGGCCTAAAACGTATAAAAGGAAAAAAAAAATATGCCTCAATCAGCATACATAGGTGGTGTGGGAGAATACTCCTGACTCTCAGTGGGACTGCGAGAAAAGAGGAAAGGGGTCCGGGAGGAGGAGTTACCCTCGGCTTCTTGTAACATTCTCTCCGGCAGAACTTGAGGGGGAGTTTGAAACAGTTTTTTGGGGGAGTGGGATGGGGTGAGGGATGGATGCAAAGTTACTCAGAAGATGGCAGAAATTATTTTTTTCTGAAGGCCATTCGGTCAAAGGAGGAAGGTTTAAAGAGCCTTAGGAAATGCCAGATGCCTGGTGTCCACGATATCATTGGACATCCTCATTGTTCAAAATGTTTGAAAGCTTCAACTCACTTCCTTGTCTTAAAGCGACCCAGCTGTACACATGGGTTGATTAAATTTGGGAACTCCCATTAGCTGGCACGTGCGGAGGGTGGGGGCAGTGGGGCTGGGAGAAACGGAGTTCCCCCTGTGGTGGAGTGGGTATGAGCAGTGCTGAGACGTTCGTCTTGCTTCTGGCACGTGAGTTTCCAAGGCCTGAACTCGTGAATCTCTAGTGAATCTTGCAGCTCTCCTGCCCCTGTTCTAGCCTGGATGGATGCTTTTCTTTGGTTCACTTTTGGGTCTTTCTTTTTCTTCTGTGACTTTAAATTTGCCTGGATGTCAACATGCAGGAGGTCATCCCTTTGAAAGGAGAGAGAGAAAGAGAGAGAGAGAGAGAGAGAGAGAGAGAATGAGAATGCTCTTTGCTACCTTAGGATACATGTCTGTGTGCACCTGTCATCTGGAAATATGATCCTCAGGGGTGAAATAAGATCAATGTCAAGGTGTATCGGGAGAGTGGGAATTGTATTGGGAGGCACAGGTATTGCCTTTCCTGGAGCTTGGGAGAGCAGATAAGGCTGGAGCTCTGCTGCTGGAAGAGAAAGTGTGGCATGTTCTGATCCAGCCTTCTGTCTCTGCCTGAACAGGGCCAAGAGCAGACTCTTCAGACCTGCATGCAGTCAATAAATAATTTCACAAAAGCCACCTGAACTCTCTTCTGTTCCTCTGAGTCAGGAGTCCCAAATGCTAGTTTGTGCATTCTTGTGTAAGTTTCTCTGAAGTTTTCCTTTTCTTGTTTCGAACATACTCCATCCCCTGATAGCTTCCTGGATGGGGTTGTGCTGCAGTGGGCATTGCCTTGTTTCTGCATAGTGGTTTTCCTTTTAAACTGGGGGGATGGAGGCGTTGGTAGCATGGCTGTGGGGGAGTTGCAGTTGTAGGAAATGCATCTGTTTTCAGTTCCCTCTTCCCAGTATGCTACAGAGCATGCCAACCACTTTCATCCATCTTGCCCAGGGAATAATCTTGAGCAATTATTCCAATGTCTATTTCCCAGGTTTGTAGGGCCAGGGAAGGTTGCAGAGGGGCTGGTAACTCAGGGTCCCACCAACTCGAGCCAACCCCAGTATTTGGGTCCATGGAGTTTTCTAATTTTATATATCAAAACCATATGAGGGTGCTTGTTAAAATGCAGACTCACGGCTTCTAACTCCAGAGATTCTAATTTAGCTGGGATTAGCGAGAGGGCCAAGGAATCTGTATTTAATAAACAGTCCAGGTATTTCTGATACATGTTTTCAAATGGACACTTTGAGATGCTAATCCATTAGGAGAAAGATGTGCTATTTCAGCTATTTAACGGTGAAATAGCTCACTGCTTGCTAACACTAATGCAATTAATAAATTGAATAGACTGTCCCTGAAAACAGGCATACTAAACAGCATTTACTAGCATGTGCTGTAGAAACAAAAATATGCAAGGTGGACTTGGCTTTCAAGAAACATATTTCATGATATAATAATGTGTATGTGAAATAATGGCAAAGTCCAAGTGGTACATAATACCGGGGGACAGCGTGTGGGCCCATTAGGAACGCGTTCAGCTGCATGAAATGGAAAACCCTATCATAATGGTAAAGCAAATAATGGTTTCTCTTCGTGTAACAAGAATTCTGGAGGTATGCAGCTGCTTTGGTTGGCTCAGTAGGTCAATACTACCAGGATGGATGTCTTTGGGAATTCTCATGGCTTTTATCTTGTGCTTGCAAGATGGTTCCTGCAGCTTCAGTGATTACATCTGGGTTCAAGGTAGAAAAGAGGAGGACTTGGTGATTGTAAAGGAATAAAGGGTTCCTCAGGACATCTCTTCCTCCCCACCTTGCAGATGATATTTGCTCATGTCTTCTTGGCCCGAATTGAGTCCTAGCTGCAAGGGAGCCTGGGAGTTGGGAAGTGAGAACAGCACCAGATCGGCTTAGATGGATCAGGATCCATTGCCTGGAATGACATGTTGCCGCTCCATGCAAAATCAGGGCTCTGCCAGTGTGGAAGAAGGCACAAATCGATATTAACTAAGTGGGCAGCCAGCGGTGGCAGCCATGGGATATTATCAGAAGATATTTTGGTGGAAAAGAAAGTTCATGAGCTTGGAGTCGGACTGATATAGTTGTGAATTCTAGCTTTTCTCTTTACTTTATCTTGGGCTAGTGGTTTAAGTTTTCTGATTTATAGTTTTAAGTTTTTGGCAAAACAGCAATAATTAAATAACATTGCCTACTTCAGAGGATGTTATAAGGTTTGAAAGAACTGATGTTTTCAAGGGTCCAGCACTGTCTTGAAGAGTGGCTGCAGGTGCTGAATGAATGACAGCTGTACTGATGATCACGATTGGCATTACATGGTGTTGACGAGATGATGTGGAAGGGAGCAGTTCAGATCAGAGAGAAGGAGGAGCTTGAGTAGCATCTCCAAACTACGTTCTGTAGAACCCTGATTCTGTGGGATGTTAGTGTTTTTCAGTCTTTCAACAAATGCTGATATCCAGGCACTGTACTTAATGCTGGTGGTCAGTAAGTGTTCTGTGGACAAAACAAATTCTATATTAATAAGTTTGGGAAGGGTTGTGTTAAGCAAAGGGAAATAGGCATCTTTACTGCAGGACTTCTCAGAGCCTTTAATATGCTACCTATGTGTATTAGGCCCTCAAGAGAGGATAGAACGGAGTCTTGCTCTGTCGCCCAGGCTGGAGTGCAGTGGTGAAATCTTGTTTCACTGCAGTCTCCGCCTCCTGAGTTCCAGTGATTCTCTTGCCTCAGCCTCCCAAATAGCTGGGATTATAGGCATCAGCCACCACACTCAGCTAATTTTTGTATTTTTAGTAGAGCCAGGCTTTTGCCGTGTTTGATCTTGAACTCCTGACCTGCCCGCCTTGGGCTTCCAAAGTGTTAGAATTACAGGTGTGAGCCACCACACCCGGGCCAAGGATTTCTCTTGGGATTTTTCTATAGACTACACCTGGGAAAACATTTGGCAAAGCAGGGAAACCTTCTTCATTGGGGAAATGGGGATTTGGAGTGGAGTGAAGGATGAGGAGGGTTTAGATTGCAGCAAAGCGGGACAAGAACAGCAAACCAGATGAACTTATTAGAATGCCTTCTTGGGGCAGCTTAGAGACCATTTTGTCCAGAATGGAGAGTACCTGGTAGCCTGTCACGGGAAGTGAATTTAGGCCACTGACTTCTGGGATCCAACTGAAGATTTGAAAGTCAGACCAACCAAGTTTCATCCCTTTGAGGAAGGAGGTAGAAATCTTCAAAGGTTTTGGAATGAATACAATAAAAAAGTATTTATGCTTTTTTGTTTTGTTTTTTGAGTCAGGGTCTCTCTCTGTAACTCAGGCTGAAGTTCAGTGGCACAATCATGGCTCACTGCAGCCTTGACCTCCAGGGCTCAAGCGATCCTCCTGCCTCAGCCTCTTGAGTAGCTGGGACTACAGGTGTGGACCACCACACTTGGCTGATTTTTTTGTATTTTTATAATAGAGACGGGGTTCTGCTATGTTGTCCCAGCTGGTCTTGAACTCCTGGGCTCAAGTGATTCGCCTGCCTTGGATGGCAGCCTTTGGCAGGGACTGGCAAACTTTTTCTAGAAAGGGTCAGATAGTAAAGAGTTTAGGCTTTGTGGGCCCTGCAATTTCCATCACAGCTCCTCGACTTGCTGTAGCATGCAGCAGCCATGGGTGGTACATACATGAATGGGTGGGGCGGTTTTCTTTTTCTTTTGCGACAGGGTCTCTGTTGCCCAGGCTGGAGTGCAGTGGTATGATCTTGGCTCATTGTAACTTCTGCCTCCCCGGTTCAAGCGATTCTCCTGCCTCAGCCTCCTGAATAGCTAGAATTACAGGCCTGTGCCATCACACCTCATTAATTTTTATAGTTTTAGTAGAGACAGAGACAGGGTTTCAGACCAGCCATGTTGGCCAGTCTGGTCTCAAACTCCTGACCTCCAGTGATC